TGTTTCAACCCACTTTTATACGCAGCACAGATGGCCACCCCTATCTCTGCAGCACTTGAAAAGCATGGCAATTCAGCCCTTTATAGGGCAGCACTGACTTCAGTTTTACGTGGCCTGTACTTACAGGTAAGCAAGAGTATATATGCAGGTGATATTAACAGTTAAAATGTCACTGATATGTACTAAGTAAACTTTACTATGTAGTGCTGCTTAAGAACATAAAACATCTTGCCAAATCAGATCAAGGTCAATATAGCTCAGTACTCTTTGCCAGCAGAGAATAGGTAGCCTACTAGAAATGGGTCACTGGTCCAAGGCGTGAGCCACCTTCTTCGCATACCTGGCCTAGAAGGACGCTGTGATTCTTAGTGATCCATAAAAAATTGAGTGCATTCTTTCAAACTTTCATCGTACTCATGTGGCCAACCCCTGCAAGTATAGAACTTCTAAATATCCTTAGAAGTATTTACGAATAACTTGATTAAGCTATCTTGGACCAAAGAAGCAAAGGAATTTCATTTACTTACTTCAGATGTCATAATTAAGTGCTCTCTCTCTCTCACTCTCTAAATGCTGGTGGTTCAAACATGCCCTCTTTCCAGCCCCTTTGGAGGCATGTCAGTACACTCCCCCCCCCCCAAGATTTATTTGGCCTGAGATTGGCCTTTGGAAGGATACTAACACACAAGCACTCTTCTCCCCCCTCCCTCCCTTCTTCAAACATACAACAAGAAGCACTGGCCATCTGCAGCTTCGAGCTGTTTCATTAGACCTTCCTTTGTGGCTGTAACACGTGAGCAGAGCTTTCTACTGGCGCAGGAGACTTTGGAACCTCATGTCCCATGAAAATGACTGCACTTGTTTTCGTATCAACTGGGTGGAAAAGGAGGCCTTTGGAATCTATATTTAGCTTCTTATTTCCAAACCGGTAGCTGTGCTTATCTGAGCACATAAAGCCGGGGGATACTCATATCATGATGTTGATCCATTTTATGGAAGTGGAACCTGCAACAGAACGTTATTCTACCTTCAACCAGAGCCGTAGCTGGGAGCAGCTAGCTGAGTATTTTGTCCCGGGTGAAGTCTTCAAAGGGGTGCCATTGAGGCAACCAGCCTCTGAGTGTGTGTGTGTGTGTGTGTGCGCGCAAATGCAGGTGGGGTGGGGTGCCAAACTTGGGTCTTTAACCTGGGTGAAATAAAGCTCTTAGCAGGAGTGCTCTTGTTCAAGGTGCCAGCCTGCCTGCCTGCCTGCCAGCTAATATTCTCTATCAGGATCCTGTAAACTGCAAGGACCTCAAGCAGGGTTTTCCACCACTCTCCATCTCTACTCAATATTCGGTGGCCACTGAGCATGTACAGTCCCATACTTTGGGGAGGGGGAGAGTAATCTGCTTACACTGATTTCTTCAAGATGGTTTGTACTCCTGCAAAAACAAAAAAAACCAGGCACACCAATAATCCTTGCTGTGTGGGGTTTTTTTTCCAGTTTGGCCCCATTTGGCTGCAATCCTGTCTGCACTCATCATCAGAGTTTCTATATTAGAGGGGGAGATGTGAGATGTAACTGTCTAATCCTGTTCAGTCAACCTGATTTTCTAAATTGTCTTTACAGAATTCCTAGCTATGTTTAGTTACAAGTAAGCCTAACTATGACCATTTTACTTCCAGGTAAGGATGTGTTTAGGAGTGGAGCCTCCGGGATGGGATTAAAAAGCCATGCCGATGTCAGTTTCTATAAAGCCTTTGTGAAGCAAAGAAAGACGGAGGTAGGAGAACCAGTGCCATGAACCAGGGACCAGATCGATCTGCTGTCAAACACTGTGACACCAGAGACCCAGGAATATTAGGATCGCAGCAGGCCCTGCGGCACGCACCTTGCGCCGCATAAGCCATCACCAGTAATTTTTAAACACACACATACGCACAAAATAAGTATACAGAGTGCTATATATTTCGTGTGTCACTCAGAATACTTTGGGGAATATATGCAATACATACACTTAGGCGCGCACATGTCTGCGTGCATTTGAATTACAATGCCGAGGTACCGTTAGGACAGCGCCACTGTTGCTTGCCCTGGGTGCAATTAGGTCAAGCTGACTTCAGGATGTGGTTGGGATTTATTCAATTTTGTTGTTGGGGTGGGCGATTGTTCAACTAGCGAGGCTCAACAATCGTCTGCGGAGGAGAGCGCCTGCAACCCCACGTCGCGGTTCTTCTTTGCTCAACTGCTGGAGGACCGTTGTAACACAACCTCCCCGCTTACACCCTGAGCACACCTCTCTCCTCAAGTAGCCGGCTGTCACGTGTTTATGGAGCTGCACGGACCTGTTAAGAGGATCGGAAGGGCCTGATCCCCAGACAAATTCTGCCTGCATTTTGTAGCCCCCATTCATTTCAGTCCGCTTTAGAAAGAGAGAAGGACACCCCCACTTCGGAATAGAACGGGAGGGAACATCTCTATGAGAACCGAGGCGGGGGGGGGAGGTATCTGCAGCAGGGAGGAATTAGCTGGGAGGGGCTTTTATTATTTTAAATGGCATAAACAAAACCACAGCCTACTCCGTCGTTCCCTTGCTCGACGAGAGAACCCTTTCTCTCCCCCACCCCGCCCTTCAGATCAGGGGTAACGAATTCGGGGTGACTTTAAACAAAGAAAGGCTTTCACCTTCGCTTAATGATTTTCCAGTAAATCAGTAGCCATCCCTCGCCCTTCCAAAATGAACACACACACCCCACCTCCGCAGCCGCCCCTCGCCCAGCCCCCGGAGCACAAGGGGGCCGTTCACTCCGGAGTCCTGAAATACACAAGGTGGAAATTCGATCTCGCACCTTCTGCGTGTGGTCGGGAATCGCAGGCTGCTGCAGCTGCTCGAGACGCGGCTGGGCTTTCTTTCTTTTCTTTTTAATGACACTTGCGTTTATGCAGAGAGGCCAAACTATTATTTTACGCAATAAACGTACGAAGAGAGAGGGTGGGGGAGAGAACTTTCTGCTCGTCGTCCCCCCCCCCCCACCCGCGCCACTTGATTATTTCCCTGTCAGTTTTCCAAAGACCTGATTCGTTTTAAACTGTCAGGAATCTATAGAAGGTAAAAAAATAATAATTAAAAATGACCCGTTATTTTGCCCAGTTGCTAGTTTAGGGAGATCGCTCCCTATCCTGAAAACAAAACGATCTGTTTCTGATGGATGTGAATGAATGAGAGAGCAACAGAAACGCGACGCCGTGCTCGTCTCTACCCCCCCCCCCCAATTCAGGGTCCTCACTTACACACACGCGCCCCGATCCCATTACGGGGTGGGGTGGAAGGTAAGTCTCACTGATTTCAGGGCTATTCAGTTCCAAGGTGAATGAGTCCTGCCCGATCCCCAAACGTGTTTACCCGGAAGTAAGAGCTACCGAACGCAGGCAGGCGCTCTTTCTCTCCTGCAAACGCGCTTGTGCCTACAAGCCTTGAGATACGGGGCGCGCCGGTCCCAGATGCGACGCCTGCCTCTGTTCTTTTGCTCCAGGAGAGTCGCCGGCTCTGCAGCTCCTTTTAACAGAGACCCCTCGGGAGAAATTGCCTCGGTGGCTGCGTTGACGATGGGAGCCTCTTATGCCCCGATCCTAATTGGAATGTGTTGAAATTCATTGGAATACCAAACGACGCTTTTTTTCCAAAGATTGGTGTGCTGAGTTTACTCTCAGAGAGGCGGATATTGGCTTTAGTGACCTCGGGTGAGAAAGAGAGAATACATACCATGTTTTAAAATGCTGTTTCGCGACATGCGTTTTTGCAGAGAGGCCAGCGTTAATAATAAAATGTTAATATAATGTGAATTATTGCAACAAAGAGCCTTGCGGCACTTCAAACCGCAACGTATTTATTATAGCATACATTTTCGTGGAGTTGAGGCAGACGGGCTGAGGGTGGGGGTTAGTGAAGTCTCTAAGGTGCCACAAGATGCACTCCCATGCGTGCTTACCTGTGAGCAAAGCCCATTGGATTTCACGGTGCTTACTTCCAAGTAGACACATATAGGATTGCACTACTGGTAGTTTTTGCTGTAACACAGCTACCTCTCTGGAAACTATAAGGAAATAGAACTTGCTTTCATACGAAGGAGGAATGCCTCGCAAATAACCAGCAGAAATCTCCCTTTTGGAAAATAGCAATATACACAAAATGCAAACGCAACGCAAACCGTAAACATTAAACCAGCCTTTAGCATGTTCGCATTAAAATTTCCCATTGAAAGTCAATGTCACTTTGATCTCCGAACGATGGGATTTTAGACTACGAGGAGGAAGAGGATGGTGATGATTTTCTGCCAGAGCCCTTTAAGCGCAGCTCGCCCCTGCCCCGAAGTCGTTAAGCGTTTGGAAAGCTGCGTTTGGCATTTGGAAGCAGCTTCTGCAGCTGCCTTGGCCCAGTTTGTCAGTATTAGGGCTGGTGATTTGATCACCAAACGCCAGCACCTGTTTGCGGCGGCGGCGGCACCACCAGCAGCAATTCATCATTCTCTTTCTCACCCTCCTGACGGAAGGGTGAAGGATGGGGTGGTGCATTGTTATTAATTATTATGATTATTGTTGTTGTTGTTATTCTCATCATCACCAACTTTGGACATTCCAAAGGGCTGGGTTATGTTCTAGCCCCAACTTTTCCTTCTCCACCCCTTCGCCCCACCAAACAAAGCAAGAACCAAAAAAAGGAAAACGTTTAAGAGAATTTCCACCCACCTTCACTCCGCCAAACACCCTCCCCGCCCCACCCCCCACACCAAGGAGCAAGTGCCAGCGAATGCCAGGGAAGGAGATCGGCTTGGCTTGAGAGAACTGAGGCTCCGAAAATGATTAGAGTATCCGATTATCTTAACTGCTGCAGGAACATTGGCAGATCTGATTTACTTCAGGATACCGCGCCTAATATGCGCCTCCTTAAAATTGAGATCCCTGCTTATTGGCTTGATTCCCACGCAAGCGCCGCTCGTGGGTCGGTACCGTGTGTGTGTGTGTGTGTGTGTGTGTGTGTGTGTGTGTGTGTGTGAGAGAGAGAGAGAGAGAGAGAGAGAGAGAGGCGCGCGCACACACACACACTCCACACACACACACACACACACACACACACACACACAGTTAAATCGTCACGTGCGATGGGCTAGACTTTTATTTCAGCCAGAGGATTGACCTCCAAGTTCTTGTTATAAGGCACTGATAAAACGTGAGGAAAACCATATCCTAAACCCCAGGACCATTTTCTCCTGCTCTGACAAAACGTCACACACACTCCCAAGAACAGGGCCCCCATTCCTTTTAGCACAAGGAGCAAAGTACCAGGGACATGAAGGTTGAGTCCCTGGCGAGTTACTATTGTATTAAACTACCATGGGACATTGCCTAGTACCACCAAGTAAACATAAGCGTGACAGTAAGCTAAATGGACATCGATTACACTTACTTGCAAGAACAATGTTTCTTTATTTATATTTCATGAAATGTATATATATCGCTTGATATTTTTTCTTTTTAAAACCCCAAACTCTCAAAGATTTTGCAGAAAGAATCAAGATGAGGGGAGGTCGGTCAGTTGGAAAGTACCGGCTGCTCATCCTGAACGATGTTCACAAACGGTGGAAAGGGAACACCAGGATGTTTTTATACAAACCTCTGGAACAACAGGAGTGCCCGGTGTTTGACAAGTGATCCCTAATTGCAACGTGTAAAGCACCATCTTTGCTGAATCGAATCTTATTTCAAGACAAAGAATCAATTCGTCAATATATTTCTGTATTTAAATCCTGTCCTCTATACAGCATGCAACTCGCTCTTGTTTTGCATCATCTGCATCTAGGGCCGACTTCTGTGGGAAGCACTGTTCGGGTTTTTTATCCCACTGTGTGCGCGGTAATATTAGCATCTCCTCCCATGTATGCAAAATTAAAAACAACAACAACAACAGAGAACTAAAATGGGCTCTGAACTCCAGGTTGCCTCATTTACAGGGAACCTTCTCATCAATTTGTGGCTGGGCTGGGAGTGCCACAGCAGGGAAAGATGGGCAGAGCATGGATAGGAAGCTTCTTTGGGATTTGGTTTGAAATGTTATTCCTACGCTAAAGGAAAAGGAGAAGGGAATGAAAAAGTTGGCCTATTAGACAGACATAACGAAATTGCTCTATTTCCAGGCACATGGCGAGGAGTGAAGCCAACAGGGTTTGGCTAAATCGGCCCCATCTATGGCCTATTTCATCCCTTCAGTTGAATTAATTATTTTATGGAACAGGCTAGAAAGCCCATCCTTGGGTTTAACCTGATAAGTGAGGGTAACTTCTTTTTTCACCAATCCATAACCCATCACTATTGTAAAGGCTCGGGGGTGGCACTACTGCATTACAGGGGTTTGGACTCGAATACCTTTGGGGCCCTTACAACTCTGTGATTCTATTAGTATTAGCATCGGCCGAAAAAAGACCTTACCAATCCCTTAGGCTCTTCCTTTCACTTTGCTACGTATATCAAATCAGTAGCAGCCTCACCCTCCCACCTATCATCCCAGTTATGCCCAGCTGTTTATAAAGGCTCTCTGAGCACCTGCCACCTCTCGTTTTCTGTGCAGCGCCTAGCACACACTCGCTGGCATTTAGTACATGGGAAGGGGGGAAACATGTCTACCCAATCCGATACTCAATCCTTTACTTGGCAACAGTGTATCAGGGCTGTTTAGGATCGGGAGGTCAGCCTCTTTCACCTTTCCGCTTTACCTAAATTCAGTTTGCAATCCCAGATTGACCCAGTTGCAAATAAACAAAAAAGGAGCCCCCAGGACCCCTGATGGGCAGCCCCGCCCCACTGCAGTGGAAGGTCTCTCTACTTCTTCTGGGAAGGAGATTTAGTGGGTCTTTCTGCTTAGATCTTCCTTCCGAGCATGTCATCCGTGGATGGGAACCAGCTGTGTTAAGTGAGAGCCTTCCTTCGGACCCTCGACGCATATCCCGCCCCAGTGACCCATTGATTTCAAGGGGAGAGGTAAGCCTTCCGGTCTTATTTCTCTTCCCCGGAAATCGATGGGATGCAGACGTGCTCCTCCTCTGTGGCAATGCCATGCCTTCGGCTGTCTGAAGGGTCTAGGGATGCCTTATTAGCTTCTGCCCTTTGGGATGTCTCTGAAAAACCGTGGCTGGGAATCACGAGTATGGAGAGAGCTCTAGCTCTCGGGTCCTCCTTTCCAGTTCCCCATAATAAGCTTCTGGTTGACCCATGTGAGAAGATGATGCTGGACTAAGATGGGCCTTTGAGCTAATCCACCAGCCCGGATTCTAGCCTAGGTAAACTCAAAAGGAGAAAACGGCTTTCATGTGTCAGGAAATTAATGAAGGGGGGAAACCGGGGATTTGTCCCATAGAGCTTACCTCTACGGCAAGTCCAGCCTTGCAGCAGCCATCTCGACGTTTAAGTGGATGACGGTTTTTCCATTTCTGTTTGCCCCACCCTACTTTCCAGACACCCCATGTCAGGTGCTAATAGCGTTCTTCTACAAAACCAACAACCCAGTCCTTCCTTCCTTCTTTATTCGGAAGGTCCATTACTTCCAAGGCGACAAGAAAGTTTGTCGCCTTGCTATACTGTCCTTTTATGGTTTATGCGGGAATAAGGCCCACTGAATTTAGCAGGACTCAAGCTGCAAAAAGGAACGCTTTGGTGAGGCCCATCCGAGGTGGTCTGAAGCTGTCTCTTCAAGACGTAGGTTAGCCACACGTGGGATAATCTCTTTTAAGGATGCAAAATGGGGGTGTCACTTGGCCTTTGCCCTGACTTTGCCTGAGGTTTTTTGTCTGGCGAGAGTGTAAGTGGACATTCTTGGCTCACGGGATACCTGCTCCCCGCTATACAGACCTTTTCCTACCTGGCCTGGGAGGGCGGGGTCCCTACTGACTCCAGCTACAAAAAACTGAGGCTGCTGAACACAATCTTGGGCTTCTGTATCTTTATTTTACATATTGTCATAATTTGTGTGGAAATTGTTCAGTTTGGTTGTGTATTCTTAAACGTTATGTATTTCCCCCCCATAATGTAAGGCGCCTTGAGCATGGTTTGAACGGTGGAAAGGCGGCATACAAATAATATTATGTATGTATGTGCCTACGATGCCTCATGAGTCACACCTAACGAAGCTGCGACCTAATGAAGTTTTTGATTTATTTCAATGTGATCTACCCCCAAAGTAAACCAGACAGCGTATTCCATTGATTTAAGTGGGGGCCGTAAGTCGATTTGGCCGGAGATTCGCTTGGATTTCAGCCTAACCTCGGCTTCTATGCGAGTCTTCCGATTTCGCTTGGTGAAAAAGCCAACCCAGAAAAACAAAGCAGACACGTGGCGATGTGTGTGGTCGGCAGCTCCGCACTAGGGGCCTGGTTCTGCAAAGCTCGCTTCTCGCTTTCCCAGAGCAATTTGAACACCAACCCCGCAACACACATGCTTTTTAATGCAGGGCTGGATATAAACAAACAGCAGCTGCAATATTCAAATGCCTTGTGCTAGCTAAGCCGTATAGACAGCAGTAGGGCGGATGAGCCTTAGTCCCTTAGTCCAGCGCCCATAGAAGATTGCAAGGACAGCAACGTACACTGAGGAACTGCTCGCTTATGTAAAACTCCATCGTTCGAGTTGGCAATGTGCAAATTTCCTGAGGCAGGACAGAAAGGAAACCACGACCCCCATATTTTGTGATACCTTATTTCTTGCTTTTAGAAACCTCAGGTGGAGGGGGCATGATTTAGTTATAAAGTGGAAGGAGTTGGGGGCGAAACATGTGAACATAATTAACGACCTTCGCCCTGCTTTTGTCCCCATAATTCGAGCATTGCTTATTTGCCACAGCTTTCTTGAGTAGCACCCGGGGGGGGGGGCATCAGGTTCGCTCAACCAACAGCATCGTCTGCTTCTCACATTCTGGTGCTGATAGGCCTTTATAAGCAGGTAGACTGCTTCAAAAGACCTTGTTACTTGGAAAGTTAAGTTCTGTCCAAACCAGCCGGGCTTCTGTCTATGCAGAAATGTTTGCGATCCAGGCAGGGTCTGGCGGGTGCTTATTTTTCGGGGTAGGTGTCCCTACGGCGAAGTCTTGCAGATCGGATCAGATGATGTGACAACTGGATCCTTAACATATTTGCTTGGAAGCCCTGCTTACCTCCGTCGCAACCCAAGAAGTGGGGAAGTGCTTCCAGATCCTAAACGGATTTGAAAATAAGAAGTTCAAAGGATTTAGAAGAAACCTTCTTCTGGTTTAGGGCTCAATTGCTTGAGTTGACCAGGCATCCCTTTCTGCTGGTATTTTTTTCCCGGGCTTAGTTGTCATTTGTCATTCCGTCGCTTAGTTGTCATTTGTGGAGAAGTTGGGTTTATTTATTTATTTGGAGTTAATTACCCAGGTTAGTAAAATTTGCTCGGGAGAAAACGGAGGCTATACAGGTCTGGCTGTTAATCCACGCCAGTTCCTTCAGAACAATCGCTGGGAATAAATTAATTCTGGACTGCAGTCTTGAGAACCTTCCCCTGAATAAGGAAGTTGAGTCCCGGATCTGCATCAAGCACGTGTCTTCCAAAACAATTAAAAATATTCTTTTGCAGTTTATGTATCGTTTCTGAGACTGCTTTCAGTTCACAAACTAGTTCAGGTTGAACAAGACGAACACCCCTTATGTACCCCAACTCTGGGAGCAAATCTCCTCGATTTCCACTGAACATTCAGCGATGCGTAAAAGCGCGAGACTTTTCCTGGTCCACCTGGTTTCGGACGCTGTTGCGAAGGGCTTTCGACCTTGGACTTTTCCAGCCCGCGATGGAACGAGGGCGGCCGTCCTGGGCCCACTGCCGTGGGTGGGGGGAAGCGTCCTGACACGCAAGGTCGCCGCCGCCGCCGCCAGAAGACATGCGCTTTGGCTCGTCGACTCACAACACCAGCTCTCCAAGCCTTTCACGTGCCGTCGGCAATCTCTACAGAAAGAGAAGGCTGTTCTGAAGGAGGAAGACTTCGGGGCGTTGCTGCTGCTTGTTTGTTGAGGTGCTGGCGCAGGAGGACGTATCTGAGGGGAGAATAAACCTCCGTGCGACTGGAAGCGAAGGGAGAGCTTCCCAACAGAGACAGGCAACTCTAAGGTTGACTTCGCCCCTGTTGTATCATCATCATTACTACTACTACTACTACTACTACTGTCCTTATTATTAGTCACTGCTCCGAGACCCTCAGACCAGTCTAGGGCGGGAAGAGCGGCGCGCGAGAGGAGTCAAGATGGCGCGCGGCGGCCGGGCCACAGGGCGCCTTCTGGAACGTCTGGCGGGACTGCGAATCAGGTACCCCGCCAGGCGCAAGCAACGGCGCAGCAGGAGGAGGGGGGAGGGAAGAGCCCGAGGTGGCGCGCAGCTCCGAGCGCGAGTTATAACCGCGCGCGGGCGGGGAGGGACCGAGGGAGAGCGAGCGCCGAGGGTCTGTCTGCGCGCGCCAGCACGTGACGCGCGGGCCGCCCTATAAAGGCTCCTGGCGCTCTCCGACGCCGCTCAGTGCCTGTGAGAAGTTCTGGCGGGAGGGAGCCGCGCTGGAAGGGAGGTTGTCTTTCCTTCCCCTCCCTTCTGCCCCGTCCCCCCTCCCTCACCTCTCCTTACTGCCCACCCCCAGGGATCCCACCCCCATGGCTTCCCCCACCCCGCACCTAGCGCTCTTCGCCTGAGGGGCGGGAACTGCGAGGGAGCGCCTGCCGCCCTCCGCTGAGCCGGGGGGAGGCGGGGCGGTGGCGCCTCCTCCTGGGACTCCTCCTCCGCTCCGCCGCTAGGGGGTGGCCAAGGCGAGCAGCCCGAGCCCCAGGCAGCGCCGAGCAGCAGCAGCAGCAGAAGAGAGCGCAGCAGCCCCAGCAGCAACCCCGCCAACGCCGTCGCCATGACCCTGGGCTGCAGCAGCGGGAGCAGCCGGCCGTGCGGCTTGCTGGCGGCGCCCTCTCCAGAGGAGGAGGACGACGACGAGGCGCTGTCCGACGTGGAAGACATCGACGTGGTGGGGCCTCCGCACGAGCACGGCCAGGCTAAGTTCAGCGAGGACGACGACGACGACGAGGAGGAGCTGCGCCTCCTGCCCAAGCAGGCGGCCCGCGGGAGCCTCTCTCCAGCCCAGGGAGGTCCGGAGGCCGCGCTGGGGGACAGCCACGACACGGCGGTGGCGGCATCGGCGCCAGTTGCGCCAGCCTCCTCCTCTTCCTCCTCCTCCTCCTCCTCCTCTTCGTCGTCGTCGGGCGCTTCGGGGTCCGGCAAGAACCCCCTGGTGAAACCCCCCTACTCTTACATTGCGCTCATCACCATGGCCATCCTGCAGAGCCCCAAGAAGCGGCTGACGCTGAGCGAGATCTGCGAATTCATCAGCGGCCGCTTCCCCTACTACCGGGAGAAGTTCCCCGCGTGGCAGAACTCCATCCGCCACAACCTGTCGCTCAACGACTGCTTCGTCAAGATCCCCCGCGAGCCGGGCAACCCGGGCAAGGGCAACTACTGGACTCTGGACCCGGAGTCGGCCGATATGTTCGACAACGGCTCCTTCCTGCGCCGGAGGAAGCGCTTCAAGCGGCAGCAGCAGCAGCTCCACCCGCAGCCGCCCGAGCTCCTCTTGCGCGCCGCCGCCGCCGCCGCCGACCCGGCCGCCTTCCTCCCCGGCTTCGCCTACGGACCTTACGGCTACAACTATGGGCTCCAGCTGCAGAGCTTTCACCACCACCACCATCACCACCACCACCCCGCGGCGGGGGCCGGCGGGGCGGCGGGGACGTTCCCCTTCCAGCCTCCTCCTTGCGCCTTGCCGGCGCCGCCGGGACCCGGAGCCTCGGCGGCCGCGCCGTCCGTTTTCTCCAGCGGCCTCTCGTCGTTCCTGGGCGGCGACCTGAGTTGCAGGAAAGCCTTCTACCCCGCCGGCCAGCTCAGCCCCACCGCGTCCCTCCTGCAGAGCCTCAAGGCGGACCAGGGAGCCGGCAGCAGGCCTTCCTTTTCAATAGACAACATCATCGGAGGCGGCGGAGGCGGCGCGGCCCCCCCGCCGTCCGGTAGCTCCACCAGCAGCGCCCCCGCTTCGCCCTTCCCGGCGGGCCACGCCGGGGGCCAAGCGCAAGTCCTGGCGATGCTTTCTCCGGCTCTGACGCCCTTACCGAACCATTTGAATCTCACCCACGAGTCCCTCCTGCAGTCCGGACAGAACTTTTCCAGCAAACTCACAAACCTCAACAGTTGTCCTTTTTAAAAAGGCGACAACGACCAGCCACCATTACTCACCCCACCCCCGAGATCCTAACCCACAGCCCCTCCTGGCCTCTCTGCCCCCCTCCCTTTCATTCTCACAATTGCCCTCCCGTTGTGTTTTAAAAGGTAGGAACTCTTCCTTTTTTGAGAACTGTTCGGGCGTCTGGATCGATTCTCTGTGTGTGTGTCTCTCCCTCTCTCTCTCCACGCGTGTTCAGGATTCGTAGTGTGTTTTAGGAGGAGGGTTGCTGTGGAGGGAGGACGGGGGGGGGCGGAGAAGAAGAACCGACCAACTCACGGATCTATTTTAAAAAGTAGTGTTTCTTATCAAATGACTTCTGGCAGCTTGATTTCATTTTAAAAACAGGGCCTATTTTATTAAGGCTGGGATCTTAAGCTACCCAGGTGGATTTTCTGTGGGGATCAGAATGGCCCTATTTCTCCCAATACTTCTTTTGAGAGTATGTAGGGCGCGTCCCTTAAAACGTCTTTCTGCCGCATTCTGTGCAGCTGCTTGCTGGAGAACTGTGCTTTCCCGGTGCAGATTTCCCAGAAGGGTGGCGGTAGCTTCCTAGCAGTCCGCTCCGCCATCCAAATACGATGGGCAGATCCTAGGCATGTTTACTCAGAAACAAGTCCCACGATTCAGTGAGACTTGCTCTCGGATAGGTGTGTAGTCAGCAGCCGTAAACCTTTCGGCTTAAGTGGCTGGAGCATCAGAAATACTCCACTAGTAGCATTTCTCTTAAACAAAAAAATACCGTAATTCCCCATATGGTTTCCTACCCGTGTTATTCCTCCGCCCCCAAAGAACTGCTTAAAGAGAATGTCTGTTGAACGTAGTTAACATTGAAAGTCTCTGTTCCCCCCAAAAGAGGAAACCGGAATGCTAAAAGAAGTTGAGAGATTTCAAGTGCACATCTCAAAAGACCGTGCTGCATCAGGAAGTCCCCTATTATCCAATCACCCGCCTTCTCTCCGCCCCTTCAACGTGTGTGTTTCTTGTGTAGCTGGACTTATTTGTGTGTGTATATATTGTGCACCTACCAGAGCCTCCTTAGCTCTCCCTAATAGTTGTTCATCCTTTCTATTTTATTGAAAGAATTGTGAATAATTTGATGTGGAAAAGGCAACGTAATTTTTTTGTCCACCTTTGGTGTAAATTAATAAATGTTTGTGATGTCTTTTAAAGAAACCCAGCGGGTCTCGCTATCGGCTTTCTTAACACAAGAAAGAGAAGAGAGAGAAAAGCAAACTAACGACTAAAGCTAGGACTCCAGGGGTCCTCCTAAGCCAGTAGTGTCTGCGTCCGGTGATTTTGATATTTGGGTGATATTTTTTAAGTAATACAAATATTAAAAAGTAATGCATCTTAACTATTAAACGTACTCTGGAGAGCTAACTCCATATTAGGTGGGCCTTAATCGACTGTACTTTCAGTAACAATAGTAGTGTACAATCTATTATTATTATTATTATTATTATTATTGCTATTACTATTACTACTAGTAATAATAATTAGATTATGCATTGGAGCAGCAGTCTACCATATAGCTGTAACTGAGGTACTTGGCTTTTCCGCAAAATACAGGGCTGTAGTCTGCAACCGAATTATGGCCTATGCACATGTAGTAAATGGTTCTAGTCAAGTAGGGGCAAGATCAGCGGAGTAGGAGAAGTTCAGCTTAATAACGTTAGGAACTGAACTTCCCGTTGGGAGAGGAGGATAGGTCCTTAGCAAGCTCACTTGAGGCTAAACTTTTCCCATCCCGCTGCTAATGCCCTCTTAAATTCATCATTTTCACTCTTCCAAATACATAGGTAGTGTTTCCTCCGTTTCTTTGAAATTTCAAGTGTTAAACTATGAGTTGTACATCATACTTTTAAACTCTGGTGTTACACTTGGCAACCAATTGAACTCTTGTTTTCGGAAAATACTTGGAAGTTGCCAAGGCAGTTCCTAAAGGAGGAAAATTATACTCCCACTCCCCTTTTTGTTTTGGTTGGAAATGTTGACACATGGAAGGAGGAGGCGGGTGTGGAGAAGTGGCGGTGGAGTGGGGGCTGGCGGAGAAACCCCTGAGCCTGAAGGGTTGAACTGACCGTCTGAAACCCGAGATCCCTGCCTAAATTTTGAGAAGAAGAAAAAAGCTACAAAAGTAAACAGACTCCCCCCTCCTCCTCCCCCCTGAAATGTCTTCATATCTGTGGCCAAATGTGAAAATGCGCCGCTTTGCATAAACAAAATCCTGCCCGGATCGCTCAGGCAGCGACTGCCTTGTCAAGTTTCTGCCCGCCGCCCATGACTTAAATGACCCTGAAAGGAGTAAGTGAATGGATCGGCCTAAAGCCCCATTCTAAAATATTCATTTACTAGCTTTTACACGGCTTTAATAGACTCCCATAGAGATGGGTTTATGAAAGGGGTCGTGAGGGGTGGGGTGGGGGGAGCGGGAAGGAGAGAAAAGAGGCGGATTCTTGTAGCATTTTCCATCTGTCTCTCCATCCAGCCTCTGCCGCCGCTCCCCCTACCCCGCCCGCCCGCCCGGGCCACAAGCCCTGAGCGGAGTTTGTTGATGTTGTTCCTTGAAAAGAGTCCTGCCCTCCCTGCAGGCCCAGGAGCGGTCTCGCGTCTCCCTCTGGCCCACATTTGCTTTTGAAAAGCGATCCCCTGTCAGACACTTAGTCGTCCCTTTTCATGTGCGAGTCCCCACAAAAGAGACTTACAAGGCAGGACGTGGAAAGCGGGGAGAAGAGAATGAGGCAAAATGAATCTATTTTCCAGATTGCTGAGCACATGGTTACAAATCGAAGGAGCTTTGTAGCTCTTTCTACTCTCCTCCGCCACCTCCGCGACGCGTCATCTTCTCCCCCCCGCCGCCGCCACCCTAAGACCCTGCGCTTCTGTCCAAATTGTTAAAACTGCTGTGTAAACCTGGGCGGCAAAAAGGGTGGCCTACCCGTTTCCAGCGGCAAGCTTTGATGACGTTAGGATATATTTTCTGTTGGGTAAACAGCTTTCGCGCTCTCGCTTTTTCT